ATATAACTTTCGGTGATGATCAGATAATAATTTTGGTATGAACTGGACCGATAACTTAATTTTTTGTATTTTTTTTCCAGTCGATCCACAAGCCACAATTGAAAGCCGAACATCGCAACACAACCCACGATGAAGGGAATATGGCCAAGAAATTAGAAGGGTTATACTGAATATTAGTAATATTGGTTGACCTCTAATCGGTCAAGAGTGTGCAAATATCGCGAAATATTGCACAATCTCCGAATATAGAACCACAGAAAGTAAGAGATTCGTGGAAGTTGTGTAGGGTATCATATGGTCGGCCCCGTCCGACTATACTGCTCCGCTCACTGGTTTCTATTGTGGGAGAGGATTGGACCAATGGATCCTATATTCTGATTTGATCTAGGTTTAATAAAAGTAAGAAATAAAAGTAATGGGGGTCCCATTGGTCTACCTGAACAAGGCTTGGTAAAGATAATAGATTGTACAAAGTTTCGTTAAAATCCGATAGTCTGTTTGCATGTTATTACCAGAAGGAGTTCACCGATATTCCCCATCTTCGAACTTAAACAAAGTTTGGAAGAAATATGAAGATGTGCAAAGTTTGAATGAAATCGATTATTCCCTTCGAGAGTTATCGTGCGCACCAGCCAGACAGACAGACGGACATGGCTAAATCGACTCCAAACGGATTTGATCCAAAGAAACATGGGGCCTAAAACCAATATTTCGATGAGGCACATTTTCCCCATATCAAAGTGTATATACCCTCATTAGCCATAAGGCCGAGGGTATAAATATTACAATGGGTAACGTTTCGGGAAGGATTTTTTATGCTCAACTCTGAACCCTTTTCGAATATACTTCAAACGAATCGAGGGCAGATCAAAAAATGTTTACCACAGTTAACCCGAGCTGTGCTACCGTGACCATATGGTCACACTCATAAGACGAACAATAAATCATCTAAAAAACCTTTACCCGAACAGTGGTAGTGTGAACATATGGCCACAGCCCAAAAATTGATCCTTTCGATTATCCTGATAAGAAAAAAGGATAAAAATCAAATTTTTGGATTCACTGACCCACAATCTAGTTTCGTCCCAAAATTCGAAAAAAAAATAATTACAGCACTAATCGGGTTAATGTTTTAATTACATGATCACAACTGTATACCCAAAGTTAGACGCCTTCAATATATACACGTTCATTTGCCAGTCGTTTGGAATTTACCAAAACTTCAAATAGAGAAGGGGGTAAATGGCCACGTTTTTTACATGTGTTTTCTGTTCAAGCTTCTTGTGTGAAAATTTGAGCCCTCAGAGGGTAAGTTCGTTCGCAAGTTCGGCAGTGTCTGGATTTTTAATCCTGTCTGACTTTTTTAACCCTGAGGCAGACATTCAAAATTCCTAAGATCGGTCGGCATCCTTATAAGTACGCCATAAGGTTGGAAAAATTCGGCTAGGGTCTTGTATGAACGAAACCCGCCCCTCATTATCGTCTACACAAGAAACATAGTTGGTGAATTGAACAAAGTAGTAGTACAGTTGTGCCCAAAATGTTTAGTAAAAAAGAAAATTTTAATTAAGATGTAAACATGTTCTCGTTAACCATGACGCTTTGTTCCTAAACAAGATCCCGTTAGTAGAGAGGCCATGTGATCGGCGCGACAGCAGGAGTTCGACTGGGAGCATCTTGGAATTTGCGACCGTGTATAGAAAAAGGAGAGACAAGTCTGGCTTGTGATCAGTCAGAAGGTCCCGAGGATAGAAGAGATCACCAGCGGAGAAAAATAAGAAATTACCGTTATGTGGACACTATACCAGAACGTGGACCTATATAATAAAAAAAAAACTGCGAAAAAATTGCCCACCCATCAATAACACAGATTGTCAAATCGCTTGAAATGAAAATGGTATCTATTTCGGAAGAAATGTTCTGATTTATATTTACCAAACTGTCGATGTCTTCTGTAGTCGATGTCTTGACAATAATGTTTCCCATTCGATTTGAAGAAGCAACATTTTTGTAAAATGTATCCTCTCTTTCTATCTAGAACCCTTGGGCGTTTTCTTCGTTTTATTTATTTAACCGTAAACTACATACCACAAGACGAGATTTTTTATCTTCAAATATTCTACAAAATTGTCCACGGTGTGTATACAAAAAAGTATAGATGCTAATAAATGTAGCACAATTGGTAGACGAATTGCGCTAACATACAACCAGTGAGCGGAGCAGTATAGTCGGACGGGGCCAAACATATGATAACCTACACAACTACCACGGAACTCTAACTTTCTGCAGATCTATGTCTATTTGCACCCTCTTAACCGATTAGAGGTCAATAGCTCCTATTTCTTTGCCATGACATCTTTTTCGAATTATGTTTTATATCATAATATCCATTTTTTTTTTTCATTTTACACAGAAAGGTCTTGATTGACTTGACCCGGTGAATAGTGACAGATCAGCCCATCAAATTAGTTGGCCAGATTCATTTTCCAGTGTAACATTCTACTTATAATTGTGGCATATAGATCGACATAATCATCACCGCAAATTATAGGCGTTGTCCTTGATCATAACCGAACCTCATGGAAACTTTAAAAGCGATCAGCGCAATATTTCCGCCTTCTAGTGTGGTAATGGGTTACTAAATAATATCTCAGTACATAAGCACCTGTAAATATTTAAATGTAACTCTCACATCCGAGTACATACGACAATATAATTGGTATCAATTTAAAGGTCAACCACTCCTCTTGGATATACTATCAACTTCTCGAATACAATTTTTGTCATTTTTCACACAAAAGTTAGGGTCCATTTGACCCGCTAAATATTGACCGATCTTTATCAAAGCATGCATATTCTCTTGCCCGATCCCCTTCTCCATGCAATAATTGCGGCCTCTGGAGCGACCAGAAAAACCGACAATGATGGTCCATTTCATCCCCTAAATATTAACCGATCTTTTCCAAAAACAATAGGGGTCTTCATTGGCCAGAACCCATCCTACATGCAAAGTTTTGTGAAGATTGGTCCATAACTGTGGCCTGTATCGTGTTTACAAATTATAATGGACAGACGGACGGACGGACACACATGTCTAGATCGACTCAGCTAGTCGAGATATGACCATCGGTATACTTAAAGGTGTGTCTAGGACCAATATTTCGCGGCGTTACAAACTTTTGGGGATGCAAAAAGCTATAATACCCTGACAACGTAGTTGTGTAGGGTATACAAATTTGGGAAAACGTTGATGATTTATAGACATAAATGTGTGGACGTTACCTAAACAAGAATCGATTGTGGCATTCTTGCTGACCTAAATAAAATGAATGCATATTCATTGAAATACTGTAAGGGAATGAATTGAGGCTTACAGAGTAACCCATCTAACCAATATAGTGGATGGGTTAGGAAAAAAGTTCTCAAGAATCGCTTATGACAAAATGTTGAATAAATTGCATAATTTTCTTTCATAGTAGGATTTCGTTATAATTTGGAATAATACTTCCATAACAGGCTTTAACTAATAGTGCCTTCAAGCTTCACTGTTCTGTTTTAAAGAAGAAACACCATTGTGTTAATCCTGAAAAAATCTTGAAAATAAAAGAGAAAGTATAGGGTGATGGAGGATTGAAATTAGGTTTGGTAATTAGCCATGATATTTCTTTAAACCTTGAAAATTACATTTCGGAAGAAAAGTTTAGATTAGTTGTATCATATCTACTAAACAGTCGATGTCTTCTGTTCCGAAGTTGTTAAAATCAGCAGGTTCGATGGATTTCCAAATTATGCTGTGATCTGTCATTATCCCTACAGAAACGTATATGTATATCGAGACACTCAGTTCGGTAGCTTATATAAATTCTTTTGTTAGTACGATTACAAATTTGATCTCAATTGAATAATAAACTCGATCTTTTTTATAAAAAGTCAGACGGTCACACGTGAATCGACATACATATAATATATTCTTAGACATTAGACATTAAAAATATCTAAAAATCGTTTATATGAAGGTTACGACTTGGTAAATTTCAACCAACTTGGAGAACTAGGCCAGGACTTATGCCGCTAATAGAGCATGACGGGTTAAAAACACGCCTAGAATCATTAAAATACCAAAAATTGCAGTTGGACCGATGTTGACTATTTTTGAAGCAAGATTTGACACCCATTGAACATTTCAAAATAGTCCAATTCGATTAAAAACTTGCCGAAAATACCGAATATTAGGGATACCCTTTAAAACATGTACCAATATTGATATATTTTGATAAGAAGATTTTCAACCCAATAATCCAAAACATACCAGAAATACCGAAATTTAATACGTACAATGGAGGCAATATTCATATTTTTTATAAGGAGATGTTCTGCCAAATTCGGTTGAATTCCACTGTTCGATCTTGATTTCAGCAGAGGGACACGACTAAATCTAATATGATTGTAATCAAGAATATAACGTATGGTCTCCGGCGAATATTTTGAATTTGTGATATTATTATAAAATATTATATATTTTAAAATATTTAAGCTTGTAGCTTGAATTTAGGGGTTGAGAGTAGATGTAAATCGTAGTCCTTGGCCCTATGGGCTAGGACGCTACATCAAATAATCTAATTATTATAATAAAAATGTCTTTGAAGTACAAGTGCTCAGTAACGAGCGGTCATAGAATCCATTATTCAACCATTGAATATAGGCAGCCCGAAGCTCTGCATATATACCTTCAAGCTAAATTTAATTATAATGAAGTGAATGATTGGGTCGGTATAGTTATATCGCCAAATTCCGCAAAATATATAAAAGTCACATCTGATAAAATCAATTCGAAATGAACCCATTTCTCCACAAGTCGTAGTATAGTGTAACACATTTCCATATAACTTTTCATTACTTCAACAATTTATTATTTTTTGTAATTCTCTTTAAAAGACACACAACTATTAACTACAAACTAATGATTAGAAAGAATATAGCTTCTACGTCTTCTCTCTCACTTAATCCTTGGGATCATGTGGCAATTTGAAACCAACCATATCGGCAGTTTCCCTTACGGATCTTTCGCCGCGACCATGGAACTCCTTATACAGCTCGTTGTATTTACGAATGCTGGACAAATAGGTTTGATAGGTCTGAGCCAAAGACAGGGCTTCATCACGAGCCTTGCATAGCTGTTCATCGGTTGTTTGGAATTTCTTATATTGCGTTAAGACATAACGAGCGGCCAATGAATCTTTGATGCAACCATTTGGTGAGGCAGCACGTAATTCTGCCAAGAGGCCACGTAACGTTTTAACAGCAGCCATTCTGTGTTTAGTGAAGAGTTTTAATTAATAATTTTTTGGAATTTAATTGTTGAAAAAATTTTGAGAAACTTACTTTCAAGTGATTACTAAACACAACAAACAGAACCACACTACGGACAATGTTTTTTTTTTGTCTTGCGGCGATTAAATAAACGAACAGCTGTTTTGGGGGGTATAACGAACAGCTGATTGTCAAATCGAAGAAATGTCATATCTATAGTGGCAATAACGAATGGTAGTCGGTTCGGTTATTCGTTATTCTTTGTGGAATTTTGAAAAATAGTGACAAGCCAATACAAGGCGTGGAGTTTTTAAAGAATATTTTTTTAAGGGTTACAAGAGGCGTGAAGTTTTTAAAGAATATTTTTTCAAGGGTTACAAGAGGCGTGGAGTTTTTAAAGAATATTTTTTCAAGGGTTACAAGAGGCGTGAAGTTTTTAAAGAATATTTTTTCAAGGGTTACAAGAGGCGTGGAGTTTTTAAAGAATATTTTTTCAAGGGTTACAAGAGGCGTGGAGTTTTTAAAGAATATTTTTTCAAGGGTTACAAGAGGCGTGGAGTTTTTAAAGAATATTTTTTCAAGGGTTACAAGAGGCGTGGAGTTTTTAAAGAATATTTTTTCAAGGGTTACAAGAGGCGTGGATTTTTTAAAGAATATTTTTTAAAGGGTTACAAGAGGCGTGGATTTTTTAAAGAATATTTTTTCAAGGGTTACAAGAGGCGTGGATTTTTTAAAGAATATTTTTTCAAGGGTTACAAGAGGCGTGGATTTTTTAAAGAATATTTTTTCAAGGGTTACAAGAGGCGTGGAGTTTTTAAAGAATATTTTTTCAAGGGTTACAAGAGGCGTGGATTTTTTAAAGAATATTTTTTCAAGGGTTACAAGAGGCGTGGATTTTTTAAAGAATATTTTTTCAAGGGTTACAAGAGGCGTGGATTTTTTAAAGAATATTTTTTCAAGGGTTACAAGAGGCGTGGAGTTTTTAAAGAATATTTTTTCAAGGGTTACAAGAGGCGTGGAGTTTTTAAAGAATATTTTTTCAAGGGTTACAAGAGGCGTGGAGTTTTTAAAGAATATTTTTTCAAGGGTTACAAGAGGCGTGGAGTTTTTAAAGAATATTTTTTCAAGGGTTACAAGAGGCGTGGAGTTTTTAAAGAATATTTTTTCAAGGGTTACAAGAGGCGTGGAGTTTTTAAAGAATATTTTTTCAAGGGTTATTATTATAAAATAATTTTTAAGGAGTATCCAAGAGGCGTGGAGTTTTTAAAGAATATTTTTTCAAGGGTTACAAGAGGCGTGGAGTTTTTAAAGAATATTTTTTCAAGGGTTACAAGAGGCGTGGAGTTTTTAAAGAATATTTTCTCAAGGGTTTCTTGATTTCTAAATAGACGCCCACAACTCTGCAGTCTTCAAACATCATCTGCAGATATCAGTATGTTGAATATATATTTCTATGGTCTATCAAATTATTTTTTTAATTACTTATTTTACAATTCAAACTTCTTAATTAAACACTGTATATTTATAATTACGTTCTTCTTTTTTATTATTAAAGTGGCATGTTCTTATCAATCTAAATCCATACATACTAAAATTTCTGGAAAATTATTTAGTAAATACAAAAGAAACCTCTTCTAAGACGACAGAATAACATCATCCATTTTAACGTCATTGTCATCCTTATCAATGCTCAGCTCCAAAACAACATCCTCATCAATGGACATGGGCTCCTTGATACTTTTCGCATCATCATCATCTTTGATTTCGATTTTCTCAACGATATCACGTTCCATATATCCCCGACGGCGACCAGTTTTCCCTGACTGTGACCCGGACTCTACTTCATCATCACTCAAACCATCCAATAGGGTTAAATTAATAACATTTGATTTATTCGATGCGGAACCAACAATTTCTTCATCATCACTTTTGCTAGTTTCCTCATCACTGGAACTATCCTCAGCCAATTGGGCTTCCAATTCGCGTACGGCGTACATGAGTACGGAAAAATCTTTTTGTCTCTTCTCAAATTTACGTTCCAATTTCATTTTCTTTTCATTCAATTCGGCCAGTTCCTTCTGCAGGGATTCAATGTGTTTTTGGGTCTCTTTGCGATCCGGTTGCTGCTTTATCACCTTGGCCAATTGATCATATTCCATTTTATTTTTACGTATTTGTTTAGCAATCACCAACTCCTTTTTACTCTCTTCGATTTCTTGTTTAGCTGCTTCAATATTTTTCTCGATAGTCTGGGAGAGCTGCTGATAGTTTTCCAATTCCTTGTCGATCATTTGACTGGTACGTTCCGTCTTGGCAGCAGCAAATTGACACTGGGCTAATTGGGCCATCAAACGATCATAGATAATTTGGCTAAAGAGTTTTGTTTGACAAAAGGGGATAAATGTGGGGTTATTTAAGGGATCAAGTTTGAGGATTTTTTTTATATTGACTTAATGATATTATGAGGGTGAATTGCATGCAAATGAATGCTTCAGGAGTCTAGCACCCAAGTAATATATACACATTTCACTTATACTTCACACCACTTATATAATATTATTACAACTTCGTCTTCAAAATTCACAAACAAAAACTTGTAGACATAAATGGTTGATATTAGCAGCATAGGACCCAAGACAAAATATTTCGATTACTCTTAAGTAAACCAAATGGCGTGGATGGGTATGATAATATAATATTTAAAGCTGCGGAATATAGAACCAAAAACATTCCTAAACTACTAATTTTGTTGAGTTTCTATGAAAAGCTGATGGTGGACATTCACAAATGCAAGATATGAGACTAGAAGCGGGAAATCTATGAGGTATCCATTTTTTCATGACATCCTCATCCATATCATTTTCCCCCTCAATTTCCATTTACTTTGAAATTCTGCGATGATTTACCTTCGCTAGAGGATGACACAAATTATTACAGAAGTGTAGATATCATCATTCCCGTTAGCTTTGGTGTTTTTTATTTTATTTTTTTTGCTAGACCAACGTGATCCGTATTTACCAACCGATGTGTCATATAGATACTGATACAACTGAAGTTTGAAGAGACAACCGCCCAGGCACGTCAGGAATGATCTTTGCGATCTAAAGAGATCCAAAGAACAAGTAAAAAAGTGTCAGACGATGTAGCCAACAAATGTGGTTTGCGGGGGTCTAAGGAATTACTACAAACTGTTTTTTATTATTATTTAATATATGTTTTTGTTATATAGAGAGGAACCAGAAGAGGTTTCTCTAAAGAAAAATATGTTTGACTGATTGTGGGAGGTACCAGAAGGAGTGGATCGATTTTTCCCATATTCGGTCTTAATACAGGTTTGGTAAAAGTTATACGATTTGCAAAGTTTGAATCAAATCAGACATTCAATTCGTTTGGTATCGAAATTAAAAAATGTTAAATTACACTTCTTGATGAGGTACCAGAAGAAGTGGACCGTCCTAACTTGGGACAGGGGGTGAATAAAAAGAAGCTGCTGACAAAACTGAGCTTAGTACAGCGATCGGCTTCAATTCTGATCACTGGACCATTAAGAAGCACACCACAAGCAGCCTTGAATGCAATCTTGAATCTCCAACCATTGGACATTCTGATCAAATTCCAGGCTGCTAGGTGTGCCCTGAGACTCCGGGAAACAGATGCCTTGAAATCGCTGAACTATGGTCATGCCAGCATTCTAAACATAACGCCAAGTTATGACCTTTCTAGAGGGGATAGTCATATCAGTGACTATATTCCCCCCACAGGGATTTTAATGACATTAAAGTCGAATTTCCTAACAGGGAATCCTGGACTAGTGGCTCCCTACCTCTGCCAGGTCTGTCAATCTTCACAGACGGGTCCAAGATGGAGGAAGGCACTGGCGCAGGCGTCTACTGCAGGGAATTAGGTATACGAAACTCATATAAACTCAACAATGATTGTAGCGTTTTTCAAGCAGAGATTCTTGCAATCACGAAAGCGGCCGAGATAGTAAAAGCACTTAATACAGACATTACAGGACCGGTGACTATTTACGTAGATAGTCAGGCGGCCCTGAAAGCAGTGAAGTCGCATACTATAAACTCGAAAGCAGTTCATGATTGTAAAACCGCTCTGAATGATATACGTCAAATAGTTGGGTTATGCTGGGTTCCAGGACATAACGATATTGAAGGGAATGAGATAGCCGACGAGCTTGCTCGAGGGGGGTCACAGTCGTCCAGTCTTCTGATTGAGAGATCTGTGAAACCCCCTATTAGCTATTTCATTGGCAGAATCCGCGCGTTCCATTGCGAGGTAGTCGGCAACAGATGGCTAAGGGAGCCTGCATGCAGAATCTCTAAATCTATCTGGCCAGAATTCTCTCGTAAAAGAACGTCTTCGCTGCTGAATCACAACAAGAGGGAGATTAAGATCGTTGTGGGGATCATTACTGGTCACTGCAAAGTTAGATCTCTCACTTCTAAGTGGGACTCCAGTGGAGAGGATTACTGTCGTCTATGTGAGGATGAAGAAGTGGAAACAATTGAGCACATCCTTTGCAAATGTCCATCGCTGATCAGCAGAAGACATAAACAGTTTGGATGTTATGAAATTGATAATCTAGTCTTCTTCTCCAAAATAGACCCTATCCTAATTCTAGGCTTTGTCAAAAAATTGACTTGGCTAAAATAATGTCTCTTCCGCTCCCACCCATTCTGACTACCTCTCTCTCTACTCTTCCACTATCTTTTCTTCTTTCTCTTTATAGGTACACCTATACATAAAGGATGATCACAATGGACATAGTTTCCGAGTGGACGGTTGTTACAACAGCCGTACATCCCTAACCTAACTTGGGACTTCATCCAGCCAAGATAATTTTGGATCAAAGCGTACATTTCATTCGCTTGATTAACAAATTATTAAGATTTTCAGCCTTTAAAGGGGAGATACCAGAAGACATGATCTAAAATTGGTAAAAGTATGACGATTTGCATAGTTTGGATGAAATCGGACATTTCATTCATTTGATATTCAATTAACACATTTACAAAATGCTGACCCTTTGTGGGGGAGGAATTAGAAGGAATGAATCGATATTAGATTGTGAAAAGTTTAGTTTAAAACGGGTGGTCCATTCACGTGTTACCATTTTGTGGTTGAGGTACCAGAAGAAGTGGACCAATATCTTCCATCTTCGAACTTGATCTAAGTTTGGAATACACATTACGATGTGCAAAGTTTGAATGAAATAGTTTACTCCTGTCGAGAGTTAGGCAGTGTATGTACCCTCATTAGCCATAAGACTGAGGTTGTACAAATCAAGTGGTTATATGTTCTCCCATCTCGATTAAAGGATTTTTAAATTATTGATACATAACAGAGAATTGCTGACCGGACATAGTATATACAGTTGGTTCCAAGATGGAAAATGGCATAGGTCCGGAAGTTCACTGAAATGAACTTTCCATCAAGAGTTTCATCAAACAAAACTGTAGCGTCAAGGAGCTATTTATTAATGACTCAGGACCGGCGTTCTTATAGTCAAGCAGCACTTAATGCAATCAAGTCTTTGACTACAAGCTCTTCATGAATGTAAAGTAGTTTTGTGGGATTTAGGACATTTTGTTAGGTTTTGTTGAGTTCCAGGTCACAGTGACATATGACACATGTTGCCAAAATATATAACCTTGGTTTTCTCAGGATTTATTAAGAGCCTATTGGTAGCAACCAAGTAACTAATGCATTAACAGTGAAATTAATCGAAGACTTCTAATAATCATACCACTGAAAATATAATTAACATACATTATAAACAACAGGGGACCAAGAACAGGCGCCTGAGGCACACCACTACTTACTGGCAACGTACTCGAAAAACAATTCTTACAATTAACATATTTGGTCTTTTCCAGAACCTGTAAAAATTTTTACTACGATAACAATTTTTGATATCGAAGAAAATAGTAAAAATTGGTAGATTCTTGCAGGACGGGAACGGACCAAACAAAAATGGGAAAACTAGCTTGCATGCTGACGATGAAAAATCAAAGAAACGATGAAATTTATCGACCAATATGGAGTGATTGATTCGGTCAAAAGCCAAGGTCCAGTGACAATAACACAATACCATACATTGTCATTCAAGCCGACAAGCAGGGATGTCGTACTACGATTACGCTTAAATCCAAATTGGCTATCATGCAATAGTGGTCGCTCATTAATATAACCAAGCATTTGATCCTTTAGGATATGTTCAACCATTTTAGATAAAGTAGGAATTATGGATATAGGCCGGTAATCACTAGTGTCTCTACCTTTATGTATAAGCACCACTTTAGCAATTTTCCATACATCAGGGAACGAAGACTTTGTTAAAATAGAGTTCACAATGTGCAACAAATGTCGCCCAACCAAGAGTATCACCAACTTCAAAAACTTTGAAACCATCGGAACCCACTGCTCTGGGCCTAATTTTGCCAAACGCATCCATAAGTTCAAACAAATCAACTACATATTTGATACCTTTTATATTCGAACCTTTGGTGAATTTGCATCACATCTCTTTCCACTATAAAGGTGGTAAACATACATTTAAACGGAATATTGGAAAATGAAAAGGGAATTTCTACATTGCACAATTTTAATCAAATTCTAATATCCAAAAGTTGCAACACAGCCAAATTAAAGAATCGTGAATTGGATATAGTATTACAATCAATCCCTTTATGCCTCCTTATGATAAGCCAAACGAGCAATGTTGATGATGTTTGGAATGTGATGATGAATATTAATAAATAAAAACACAATTACTCACTTATTTTCTGGTGAATCGTTCTTGGAATACATCCATTTCAGAAATTGTTTCAACAGCATATTAAGACGCCGGTCATCGCCGGTGCCATCTCCATCAATCAGGAGACGCTTCTTGATAATTTCCTCTGCAAAAAATAAAACAAATTACAAAAGCTATCCATCGACAAATAACAACAACAAACCATCCGTCATTTTCAGTAGTTGTTTTTATAAATATTTAAATGTGTATTTAATATTTATTTAATTTATATTTTATTATAAAAATCACACGCGAATTTAAAGTGGCGTTCTATACGAATGAGATTGTAAAGCAACATTACCAAAAACCAACCATTATTTACGAATGGGCAAAATGCGAATGGTAAAAACAGCTGATATTCAATTGCGAGTTTGTAAGCGGAGATCACATTCTGTGAGGTTTTCCAATAGGTGGTTCACATGCTATGGTAATGTAAATATTGAAGAGATATACAAACAATTATTAAAATATTTAAATTAAAATGCGAGGATTTATTTAAGACAATTATTTGAAGGGCCAGTTAGGCTTGGATTTATTAAAGAATGTTTTTTCAAGTGCCGTTACAATATTTTTTAATAAATCTATTCCTTTATTGGTCCTTGAAAAATGATGTTATGGGATATCATCTCACTGTTCATAACCTGCTAAAATAAAGAGGAAGAGTTGAATATAAGTATTGCCAATCACTAGAGTTACGTTTTAGCAAGTGTTGGCAACTCGGAGAAATAACATGGATTTGTTTATGTTTACATTTTGACCAAACGAACGTATTGAAGGGATGAGTGCTCCAATTGTAAATAATACAATTAATATGGAGTACAATCACCCCGGTCCACGAGTCCATTCCACATTTCGCAATCAACCCAGCTACACCTACTTCAACAAATCAATTGCCGACCCCAAAGATAATGTCTATCTGTTGCTAAATGAAATCGATGCCCATTTTATGGAACCCCAACAATTGGCGGATAAACGGGGCTTTGAAAATGTGACAATAATTGATCCTCGCAATCAGAAACTGGTAACGGATATCCTTTATGATTACACCACCAAATATAGTACCAAAGTATTTTATTCTCCTAGACCATCCAGTTTGAACTTTGCCCAGCATAGTATTGGAATGCGGGTTGTAAAGGCACGCCAAGAAGGAACAGAGTTGGCAGAGGATGATTACTTGATATGGCATAAAATGGAAAGTAAATTTTTGAAAGAGACTCAGGAATTTCAGAAATATGTCTATGAATATCATCAGACAAATAAGGAGGTGATATATGCTCCGGCAAGAATGCTCATGGATTTGTATAAGCTGTGGTATGGGAGGAAAGCGGAGAAGTTGTTAAAACGATACTCAGATTTGTCATATAACACACATTTAGGTTTGCCTCATGTCAGGGTGTGTAAGGAAGCCCTCAAAGAACAATGGGCGGAAATTGTTGAGGTTCAAGTGAAGACGGAAATGAATTTGTCAATGAAACCCGACCAAATGGATTTAAAACAAGTTAAAAGAAATTTGGAAATATTTTTCCAAAACTATGTGGATTCGGAGAGCAGGAAAGAGGAGATGGAAGATTCAACAAAAAATGAATTTGTTAAAAGTTTGGGATCAACTGAGGGGTTCCCCTTGTTTTACATACCCTTGGATTCTTTATTATTTCTACTGACGGCTGGTGACTATGTGGATTTGCCCATGGAGATGCTATTGGACATAAAGGAAAAGGAAGGAGATTCTGAAGAAAAATATATAATTATGGATTTGCCATTGCCGGCAAGGCAAATGGGATGGCATACATGGCAACTGGTGGTAGAGTCAGGAGCCACTGCATATCTTTGTCGATCTTCGGAGCAACAACAAAAATTAAAGGATCAAGAAGAAGACAATGCAATGTTAACTGATTCCCAGGAGAGTATTCCCTATGTACTCAAAACAATTGAGGATTATATGGAATCTCTAGCCAATAGAGATGGAGAACATTGTAAATTTTCCCAATCCTGTACCAAATGGCAGCTAAAGGCCAAAGATAAAGATTTGATACAACACATCCATACAATTATACCAACAAATCTTGCCATAGATTCCATTAAATTGGAATATAAACCCAAATTCGGCTGTGAGCTACAAACCAAATATGAGTTACTAAGGGCATGGTTGAAACTAAAATTGCTGAATAATAAATCCAGCACCTGTCACCGCTTGGATGTGAATAATTTTCAAACATTGCTGGCGGAACGCCAAACTTTGGAAAAATTACAATTTCAATTATCCACCACCTATCACATACAAATACCTCAATTACTCAGCAATCTCTATGAGTTCCTAAATCTCCTCACGCAAATGCCTTGTGGTCATTATATGTTGCGCTATAATCCCAAATTTCGTGATAAATTTATGCTTTGCAAACCCTCGGAGGAGATTACACAAAATACCACCAACATACATCAATTGTTGAAAACCGAACCCTCCGAATTATTGTTTATGTCACAACAAAGTTATCTGCCCATTGCCGATAATCTTTGTAGTCTAATGCATGTTCAACACAAACTGATACCATGCACCTTTCGACCTTTGGGCATGAAGCATCGTGATGAGAAGTTAACTAAAAAGCTAACAAAATCTCCCATCAATGATCGCAAGCTTATATTGGAAAAAATTGAAATGAAGAAAAAGTCGGCGCGAGATCATTTAAATGCTATGCGTAAAACACGAAAGAAGAAGGCCCAGAGAGCTAATAAAAGAAAACGTGCCCAGCAGCAGCAACAACAAAATGGTGACGAGAATGGATTTCAAAAAGAAATGGAGTTGGATCAGCAGATTGTGGGCCATTAATATTTGTAGTTATGTGAAAACCAATATTATAAGGTATTGAAATGGATAAAGTGATATGTAATAAAAATAAGAATTTCGAAGATCTTAAGAAAAAATAGAAAATAATAATTTCAACGACCTCAGCATCCGGACTCTTTATCAATCCCGTTGCCTTCCAAATAGTGAAGATTTTAGCTTGGAAAACAATACAGTTGCTAAAAGAAATTAGGCTCTATAAATAAACCAGTGAGCGGAGCAGTATAGTCGGACGGGGCCGACCATACGATACCCTACACAACTACCACGAACTCTAACTTTCTGAGGATGTTTATTCCGAGTCTGAGTAATATTTCGTGATATTTGCCCCCTCTTGTCCGATTAGAGATCAACAACACCTCTTCCTTACTTTTTTTGGATATTCAGTACAGTCCTTCTAATTACTTGTCCAGATTACCTTCACGGTGGTTTGTGCTGTGATTTTCGGATTATACTCGACTCGAAAACACACAAAAAATTAAGTTTTCGGTCCATTTCATCCCAAAATTTTAATCTGATCATCGCCGAAAATTGTAGGCGTTGTTCTTGACCATAACTGGAACTTCATGAAAAATTTCAAAGCCATCAGCGGGATATTTCCCCCTCTAATGTGGTAATGGGTTACTAAATAATATCTGAATACGTAAGCACCTGTAAATATTTGACTGTAACTCCCACATCTGAGTAGATACATCACTATATTTGGTATCAATTTAAAGGCCAACCACTCCTCTTGAATATGCTATCAACTCCTCGGGTCTACATCCTCCAGGAGTAAATATATATGCCATAGAATACAAATGTTGTCATTTTTCACACAAAAGTCAGGGTCCATTTGACCCGCTAAATATTGACCGATCTTTATAAAAACATGCATGCTTATTCTCTGGCCCGATCCCCTTCTCCATGCAAAAATTTGCAGTGTTTGGGCCATAATTGCGGCCTCTGGAGCGACCAGAAAAACCGACAAAAATAATGTTTTTGGTCCATTTCATCCTCTAAATATTAACCGATCTTTTCCAAAAACAATAGGGGTCTTCATTGGCCAGAACCCATCCTACATGCAAAATTTCGTGAAGATTGGTTCATAACTGTGGCCTGTATCGTGTTTACAAATTATAATGGACAGACGGACGGACGGACAAAAGGACACACATGTCTTGATCGATTCAGCTAGTCGAGATATGACGATCGGTATACTTAAAGGTATGTCTAGGACCAATATTTCGCGGCGTTACAAACATTTGGGGCTGCACAAAGCTATAATACCCTGACAACATAGTTGTGTAGGGTATAAAAATATATTATATTGTATTGCAATTGTTAAAAACAAATGTATATTAAAGTACATTGAAAATTTATATTTTAATAAAAAACAAGAAAACTTAAAACAAAAAAAAAATAATAATAAAAATAAACAACTTGTAGTTTAAATTTTGTATTTATTATTAACTTATACTTAAATTAGCAAAATCTTCGGCAGATATCATTTCACCATTATCATCATTGTTGTACTTGGGTGCATCTTGTTTCAACCAAAAATCATCTGACGACAATTTCAGTTTATTTTGTGGAAATATATGCACCGATAAATCATTAAATATATTTTGTACTTCATAATCATCCTCCAGTGGCAATTCCTCGCCATGTGGCATTATATCCAGAATATAACCAGCATCTAAACGTAGTAAACGTTCTGGTTTTGAGCAGGACAGACTTTCAAAACTATTATTAATTAAAATTACATTCGATAATAAGTGAGGTTGCCAATTACTCCACAGGAGATTGTTGGTTAAACAATTCGGGCAATGGGGCAAGTAAAATAGTGTCTGAACATCAGCTTCATATTTCCCTTCACAATTCTCAGTCATAACAAGGCATTTTAATTTGTGCAATATGTCTTTTTCACTTTGTCGAAAGACGGGATCAAAATAGATAGCCTCATCTATTTGAAAATGTCTTTGGGTACATAAAATAAATGCCAGTTGATGTAGAGCTTGAAAGTTGCGGGTAAATGGTCCAATACCAAAACACACTAAACGTTTGGGGGTATTATTTTCCTCTGTGTTTGTATTAATTTTCTCCAAAGATTCTTTAAGTGTCGTCATGGCCTGTGTAAAATAATCACTGTCCTCCATGCGTTCCCGCAGCGTGTCCAGTTTTCTGTAATATAAAATCAATAGAAATAATTTTAACCTCTCGATATTTCCAAATAAATAACATACACCATAAACTTGTCCACATCAACATCAGGAAAATCCTTTTCATATCCTTTGTCCGATAGTCTGCGCGTCCTTTTGTTTATACTTTTGTGGGCAATCCATTTTTTTCGTGTCACCGTACGAAACTCTTCACTCATGGCGCTTTGGTTTATCTCTCTTTGTATTGATTTATTTCGGATTCCCGCCAAAATATTTATGAATATTAATTATTTTTATTAAATTAATATAATTTTATTAAGATTTCTTTGTTTATTGTTTTCCATTAAAAAATAAAGACGTGTTTATGTTTACATTACATCAACAGGCGGTGAAGTGTCAAATGTGTGTTGAGTATGGCATACAAAAGCTGAGTGCTGTGAAAACGTTGTTTAACTTCCAATTAGAACAGTACGTAACGTAAAAGGAAAATAAGACTGAAATCAAATTTATCAACAGTTGTACATTTTTTTCTCCAAAATGTTTAAGCGTAGATTTTTAAAGGACTATTTGTTCCAGGACCAGGGTAAAGATGTAATCTTGTATTTTTTATATGGGAATTTTTCAAGGAATGTAGATTTCTCTGTCGTGGAAACCAATCATTTATGATTTAATGGCATGGCATTGCAAGTGTAAATATAAGTCCCAATATCTTATAGCCTCCATACAGCTGAACCAACCGAATTTAAGCATTTGAAATATTCCACAATAATTTGACAATCAAATTCCTCAAAAATGTCCAAAATTGACACCCAAAGGGCCGAAATTAGCAAAGTATAGTAAAATAGAATTTTGATTGTTTTGCGGAATCCTAATACTATCGTATCCAATAAATTTTGAAACAGGCAAGTATTCCTGGAGGATATAAAAAGTTCGTACATCGACTACAACAAACAAAGGATACAAAGCAGTTTGATGTGCTGCAAACGACTGCTTGGATCTCTTCGAGGGTGGTTGTTTCTCATTCGAAGATCGTATCCTCTTCACAGACACAGGTTGTTTTGGAGGTTTGGTCCACAGAGTTGCAACGGCCGCAAAGGACAATGCTGTTATAGCGTGTAGTTCCTATTTTACGTTTCTCATTTTATGTGGTTGTTGGGGCTTGTCGTGCTGTTTTGAAGCTGGTTCTGGATTTTGGCAGCGCAGCAATCGTCCTAGCCGTCGATCGAAATTCTCTTGCCTTCCACTCACACTTGTAGATGATGCAAAGATTCTCATCATTCAAGAGCCCCCTCGAAGGTCCTGATTGATCGGGGATTCCTGGCATGATTTTCACAGTCGTACTTGGGCTACTCAGAGTGTTCTCCTATGTTGGAGATTTAACTTTTGGCACCTTTATACACGACGTCGGAATTCTTTCGACCAAGAAGTTACTCGCAATATCATTCGGAAAGTTCTTGAGGATTTCTGATTAAATTTGAGGTTTATTTTAATCTGAAAAAAATCCGTGTCTGTAATCGTGATTCTGTTCCGTTCGAAGAATCAATTGAGAAGTTCCGAAAAATGTTGTGGTTTCTTTTGAATTGAAGGAATTCCTTGTCAGTAATCGTAATTCAGTCCCACTCGGTTATCTGCTCTCCGGTAGATATTTTTTCGAAGGCTTCCTCATCATTTACACATTTGGTGACTGCTTGCTTTGATGAGTATCCATAGCTTCAGATCTTCAAGGCCAACATACACTTCAATGCCATTTTGCCTTGGAAGCATCGATTGGCCACTTACCGCAATTTGGGATTTCTATCCCGATTGACGTCCTCTCCCTTCAGTTTGGATGATTCTCCTTAATTTGAAAAAAATCCCAGAATCGCTGTTGTGTTACCCACAGTGATATCCATAGTGTCTTCCTCGTTCATCAAGGGTATATCATTGCAGAGATGGGTCGGAATACTCTCTTGGCTGTGACGGGAAGATGGATTCCTTAATTAGTTCGATGAGAAGATCCGTATCTAAATGCTCGCATTTATGTAATAGATTGTAATGGTTTTTGGAGGGTTTAAAAAAGGTTCGTTAGATATGATCGATGTTATTGTGAAGAAAAATTGAAGCTGCAATTGTAGAAGTCGAAACTGAGGCTACCAAGGCAGTCACACCAACGAAATACATTCGCAATAATTTTTTAGAAGAGGGGGAGTTTTGCCTAATATTTCCATGGGAGTATTTTTCTCGAGGACTTAAGGATGTAAGCCCACCATTGTAAGGACATTGCAACTAAGCCTGTATAACATGTTAAGACGACCAGTTATCAACAATGCTCAGTTAAAATAGGGTCGGTTCCCTCACTACAATCTGTGAAGCACAAGGATAACATCTCGCATTAGGGAGCTCGCTTAAGGAATGAGGTTACATGTGTTGTTGTTGTAGCAACAAAATACATGTGATGGGCTATTCATTGTCTGGTTCTGCTTCTTCTACCTCCAAATTCAAAAATGTTCGAACTTGAGCGAGTTGCGTCCATAGCCAATTAGGTGATAGATGACTCGGCTTAGCTGGGCATTTGAAAAGGTGCAGGACATGTGCTAGGTATCGAGATATTAATTCTTGTCCAATAGAAATTAACGAGGTTGCACCATCCTGATCTTAGTTGAGCCTCTGCTGGGGCCATTGTCTCCGATTATTCCGATATTGCTCTACTGCCTGAGCGACTGGGTCCGTTTGAATACCATTCAGACCTGCTTGCTAGGCTTCTTGATCTAGAAGCTCACGTTCATATCTTTGGATCTCTCTCTAGATCATAAAGATCTTTCCTGACGTGCATGGGCGGGGAATTTCTGTCCATAACACTGGGACGATTGCAACCAAGCAAGAACTGCACGGGTAAGATCATCGTCTCCTCATGAAGATGGTTCACAGGAGTTTTGTTCAGACACCCTGTTGCAGTTCTGGCAGGTTTGGATATTATTCCACTGCGTATCACTTACATTCGCAAACCACACTGGCGTCGCATAGCTTACCACTGACCGTACTATTGCTTTATAAGAGGTTCAACAAAGTTTCATTGTCAGTGCCCCAATTGCTGCCGGCTAACGACTTGAGGACTTTGTTCCTACTTCTCAGCTTATCGCATAAAGCAGTGGCTTGCGCAGACGACTTGAAAAGGCTGTCGAACGTTATTATGTTCAGTGGGAGCTTAATTTTAGCCGTCCATGTGGTGTACAGTGTGGCTGTTGATTTTGTGGCGGATATGTATTTTCATATTCCTCAGATGGAAGAAATTTACGAGATCAGCTATGTAGAAGTTTAACCTCACACATACGATACGATCTCTAGCCGTCCGGTGGTTGTGGAATAGGGGGTTCTGACCCCTCCTTAGGGAAGGGGTTCTGACCCCTCCTTAGGGAACTCCCTGTTTCGCTCTACGGGGGTTAGGCTTTATGTTTCTGAATTCCACATACAACTGGCGCCCATAGTTGATTATCCAACGTTTCAAACACGACCGGAAATCTTCGAACTGCTTGGCATGGTTGACGGTATGGAAGGCCTTCGATAGGTCAAATGCCACCATAACTGTTCGGTTGCACGGCATGTTCTTGTTAAGTCCCATTCGTCCTAGGGTTTGGTTATTTAGGGCGCCAATTTCGGCTGGTCGACCTTGGAATCTAGGGTATTCGATCATTTCCTCCAAGTCTCTATATCATAAAATCGTAGGTTAGAAGGGGAGCATATGCTATTTTGTTCATGAACTTTCCAAAGATTCCCCTCCTTTTTTGTTGTTTTGGCCTGCTGAGATATCCGAAATTTATACTAATTTATGACTTCCAAGCAAACCGATTATGTCTTGTAATGTGTAATCTTGAATTAGTTTGTTAAATATTTTCAAAGTCTGCTGTACTTTCCCTTAATAGTTCCACAAATGCATACTTTCGCTGAACCTTTTTTCTTCGACAACTGTACTTTCTGCATGTTATTTCCGTGGATTTAATTTGAAATTGTTAAACCTTTTATGATTTCCCGATTCGTGGAAAATTCGTCAGAATGTTTGGTGTGCTAATTATGAAAGGCGGATTAGCGACTTCGAGAATTCGTTAATCCGTTTTCAAATAAATCTACGGCTAGTATGTGCGTTTATGTGCCATGTAATAAATTTACAAATTACACCAAAATATACCTGCGCGAGTGATGCATACGGATCTAAAGGGAACACCCTACCTGAAGCATTACCTGGCTACACGAAGGAACTGTTAAATATAGGGATAGATTTTGTGAAGTATAAAAACTGCTGCTGGAAGGAAAGAATTTATCATTCACTCAGTGATTGTAGAAGTTAAAACACATCTATTTTGAAAATCTAAAATATTGTCTTAAAATTTAGTAACATGGATTCGGAACAGCAACGTAACGACAATGAACCCTTCTACTATATTGCCAAAGATAGGTAAGTTTAAAAACCCAATAATAATTTATTGCAACATTTAGAACAATACAAAAACTCCTGGTTCCAAAATTAATGGTCTGTTCCCGTACGGCTAGAATCTACTATTTTTTACAATTTATTTCGATATCATAAAGGAAAAAAATGGTTATCGTAGTAAAAAAAATAGCATATTCTTTCAGTCTTTTCACAGACCATAAGTTACGTCTACAAAAGCAGTACTATATACTACATAAACTATTCACCTAATTGAGAATTCTAACAACCTTTTTAAAATGTCTTCTTGTTGACAATGTAAATAGATGTCATAATTCCCACTGCTAGGCGTCTCCACTTTACAGTGTATAGACATAAATTGGTTTTTATTTTTGTAACAAAACCAAAAATGCGTTTTGATTCCTGTACATTTTGTAAAATTTAATTTTGAATTTTTTTGCAGATCCTTCAATTCAAGTGGCTATTTGTCAGAGGATAATACCAGCATAATGGTATCCTGGGATGAGGACAGCATATATATTAATGAGGCAAACGATGATAATTTGCCGTCACTTGATGAGTCCACAGTTTCGGTAAATTCGGATTGATCGATCGAACGACGTTACAGTTGAAGAACGAATTTGAATTGAAAGGATTCTGGAATATCAGCTGTGTGAAATGATCAAACCGAATATAGTTCCTTAAGTGGTTTTTTGTAATTAGAAAATAGGTATACGGGTAACGACGATATCTTCTGAAAACAAGATGTAAAATAAGAAAAAAATAAAAAAACATAATTTTAAATAAAAGCATTAT